CAAATGGCGGTATATACACTGGAATTTTTTTTTTATACTAGTAAAGGTGGTGATCACTGACTTATATTGGGACTGCAGCAGGCATTCTGGCACTGGGTGGGAACTGACTAACTGCCACTGACATCCCCAGTGACACTAATACAGTGATCAGTGCTAAAAAAAAGCACTGACACTGTACTAATGACACTGGGCAGGAAGGAGTTAACTTCGGGGGCGATCAAAGGTTAACTGTATTTTGTGTGTGTTTTACTGTGTACTGTGTTTTACTAGGGAGACATGCTGTTTTGTATCTCTCTGCTGTGCTATGCAGAGAAATACAAAGTAGCAGGTCCATGCTGACAGGAGAGAGACCTGTGTTGTTTACTCAGTTGTACCTGATGATTGCCGAGTGCCGGCTGGGTCCTGGTGACTGGCATCCCTAGCCGCGCAGCCCTGTCACCTTGTAGCAGCGCTTCTGCTATAGGATGGAGTAAAGTGGTTAAATTCATGTAAGCCAGGATTTAAGTAATCTAAATAGGCAACTGCAGCCAGGACCAACGCGCAGAGCTGAAAGCTTTAGTTTGACTGTGCCTTTTTTAATACATGACCACTGCAAAGACTGGCTTACTACAGCACATGTGCCACCGAGCCAGTAATAATATACAGTATGTATTCTGTTGTGCAATGATAACACAATAGGGAGCAGCAGAAATTGGAGTGGGAAGTGTTTACTGATAGTGAGCAGTAGACCTATGATATTTTTCTATTGTTATATAACACAGATTTTAAGATCTATTTCATTAATAGTTAAGAACACACAGTAAGAGGTGTGCCATATGTGAGGTAAAAAAAAAGGAAATTCCAGGCAACATAAAGGCCACCATCCTTCAAGAGGCTTATGTAAAAAGGAAGAGCTAGGGCAAGAATCGTAGGTTTCTCTCTACCATTTATTTAGCGGAAGCAGTAAAATTGAGGAGAAAACAATATTGGTATAGTAACCATTCCATACTGCTGTAGATATCTAACATTCAAACATATTTATTTTGCATTTCAAAGGGTGGAACACGGGCCCTTCAGATGGTGGTGCAAGCACACATCATTAAGCACTTGCTGTTTACAAAGAATGGTCAAGAACACAGCTCCTTCAAGAGGTAAATCTATAAAGCAAGTAAAAACGGGGCAGTCCCATGTTGAATCAATTCTAAAGCCAGAACTTTACTGAAGTTTCCCTAAAGCTGGCCATACATGGATTGAAATTCAGCCATTTCAGCACGGACCTGCTGAATTTCAGTCTTTGTATAACTGACTTTAGGGAGACATCAGCCTGAAGGACAAATCTCTCAGTCAGTGATACTGGCTATAGCTGATGGTGTTGATCAGTCTATTCTGACAGTGGGGAACTCTCCCCACTGTCAGAATACAATAGCACAGCGGGGGATTTCCCCATCCACATTCAAAGTGGGGATGGGGGAATTGAGTCGATTTCTTTCTTTCAACCCGTTGTTTGAATGAAAAAAAAAAAACTCATGCATTGCCATCCTAAGAATGGTTACTAAGGCTAGCCATACATTGAGCAATTTCCTTTCCCAGCTTCGACCAATGTAACTATGCATATACCATACCTCTGGGATCCTTGTGGAAGCTGGAAATCACTGTAATAGGCAACACTACTACAGTGATCTCCGCTAGTTTTTGTTTCCTGTGCTGAGTGGCTGTCCTGCTGCATTACGATGTTGCCTGCTTGACACGGGTGCCAGTAAGAGAATGCTTTGCAATTTCCCAATGAATGCAAAGTGCTCTTTGATTGGATAATAATGGAGATTGTGATGTCACCGCACCACCTCATGCAATCAAAGAATCAAAAGCTAGCGAAGAAGCTAGTGGAGATCACTGTAGTAGTGGTGCGTACTACAGAGATTCCCAGCCTCCAGTAGGATTGGCCAGATACAGTATATGCATAGTTACATTGGTCTAAACTAGATCACTGTTACTATCCAAAAATATTGATACCTAGAATTCATGTTTAAATATATAAAATTTGATGCACTTAAAAGATTTATAAAAAAATATTATTTTTTTTGTTACTAATGTTTTCTTTCTTTTTAGTTTATCTGAAATAAGCCAAAAACAACAAGAAAGGGCCCTGGCAGCATCTCTTGCTGAAATCCTTTGGACTACAGGAGCCATGAAGAAAGCTATAGTCTGCCTCATCACTAGTGAATCCTATTTCTCAGAAAGTCCAAACTACAAAACTGACAATTTTACTGAAAAGGTATGTAAATACAAAAATAATCAGTTTGGCATCAAAAGCAGTGACACAGTTGAGCATCAAGATACAAAACATTCAGATTTATATTTTGACTGCTGTGGAAACTTCATTGCTCAGGCTGTCTTGTATTCTTTAAAAATCTTCAAACAAAGCAAGCTTTTAGTACACAGAAAATAAAAGTAGCATGCACTGTTCTATGCTTACTAAGAATAAACTTTCCACTTCCTCTGTTGAGGCTTTCCAGCCATTCCAGAATAAAACTACCAAAAGACAAAAGATGAAATCAGGTTGTAATACTTCCAGTCAGACTGGATGTTAATCTCTTGTCTGTGGGAGGCCTCCAACCCAGGCCAGACTACTGGTTAGAAAGCCTGTACAAACCACTGATGACCAAGAGATAGCTAGTGCTCCCTACTGCTCCTTCATACTTATAAAACATGAATGTCCACTCAAGGTTTATGAATGTTACATTTTATGTACTTGTTAAATAGTAGTAAATTCTGGCCAATTGCATCACACATTTCACCAACCCCACAGTACAGGTCAATTAAGTAATACATTTGTACCAGTGGTAGACCTTTCACCCATGCAGAATTGTAGCTTTTGTTAAAGTGTGCCAGGATGCCAGATAACCTTAATATGTCATGCTTGTAATGCCATTTGCTTTAATGCCCTTTATGAGTCTCTATACATGTTTCCATGTTTTGAGTAAGCTGATTGTGTACGCAATACACAGGGGTTCCCTTTATGTCCTCAAAGTATACATGGCATGTGCACAATACTTTTGATGACAATTGCTATGGAGTTCAACTTCCATTTCATGCATTGAGTGGTGTGCAAACTGCCTGGTAATGTTATGGTTTAGAAAAAGATCAGTAAAAACGTCCTGTAGCAGAAACAGTTGTTTTTAGAGTCTCTAGTCTATGATGCCTTTAAAAAACCCTGTCCCACTGCTAGAGTAGATGTGTTGAACAGGAAGATAAAACGAGCAATCAGCTGGCTTAGGGCTCATTCAAAGAGGCACTGAGACCCAACCTACGTGTTGGGTTGCATGTTCTTCCACCTTGGAGTTGCATGCAGAGAGCTAAAAGAAGTGGATGCAGATATAGTGGGTATATAGATATGAATGCACAGTGTCTGCATTCAGATTTGAGAACTTGCTCCTGCCCGCATGTCAAATTTTGACATACGACTGGACCCGTGCAGCCTCTGCATCAGCATCCACTTCTTTGGGCTGCCTTCAGTCACTCCAAGATGGATGCACATGCAGCCAAAGGGACAGGTCTCAGTGCCTGTCTGAATGAGCCATTATAGAGGATGTGTCAGGGCTCCAGGGTATGACCAGAGGTATGTGAACTGACGCAGGGAAACGCAGGCTTCAGATATGTTATAAACAATACGATTTATTAACACTAACAATACATAAACGCAGTGCAATACTAAAACATAACACAGTGCAAACGAACCAAACCACCCACAGATAACAATACATACAATGCAAGCGTCGTCAGGCAGGCCGGGTCAATAACAATCGGGCAGGTAGGAACAGGAGGAGCAGGCAGAGAGTAGTCAGGTCACGAGCCGGGTACAGCAACTAACGGGCAGGTAGGTACAGGGGGTCAGGCAGAGAATGGTTGGGGTCACAAGCCAGGGATCAAACAGGAGAAGTCAGCAGAGGTCCGGATCAGGCAGGGTCAGCAACGAATCAGTCAGGCAGGGACAGGAACAGGAACAGGGATGCAGGTAACAAGAAACAGGGGCCCAGGAAAAACACACACCAAGGCCCAGACTGCAGGTCTGGCCATCCCTTAAATACACTTGCATAATCAGCTTCAGGTGTTTGGCTGGCTGCAGGGTTGAGTCTCTGATTGCTGGGAGCACCCGCTGGCCAGCCCTGGTGCTGCAGCCCACAAGGCAGGTGAGTCCCACCATTACTGGCAAGTCCATTCCTGACAGTACCCCCCCCCCTCAAGGAGCGGCCTCAGGACGCTCCAAACAGTCCTAGCTGGGCAAAATGTTCCACCGCCCCGGTCTGGTAACTGGCGGGATATCAAAGACTGGCACATCGAGCAGGACTCCAGGCAGCGGCACATCGGGCAGGACTCCGGGCAGCGGCACATCGGGCAGGACTCCGGGCAGCGGCACATCGGGCAGGACTCCGGGCAGCGTCACATCGGGCAGGATTCCGGGCAGCGGCACATTGGGCAGGACTCCGGGCAGCGGCACATCGGGCAGGACTCCAGGCAGAGGCATATCGGGCAGGACTCCGGGCAGAGGCACATCGGGCAGGACTCCGGGCAGAGGCACATCGAGCTGGACTCCAGGCAGAGGCACATCGGGCTGGACACCGGATCACCAGGCGGAGCAGCAGGCCCCGGGGCACCAGGCGGAGCAGCAGGCCCCGGGCACCAGGCGGAGCAGCAGGCACCGGGCCACCAGGTGGAGCGGCGGGCGCCAGGCTCCCCGGGCGGAGCAGCAGGCACCGTGCCACCAGGCAGAGCGATAGGCATCGGGCCCCCAGGCGGGGCGGGGCGGGCCCCCAGGCGGAGCGACAGGCATCGGGCCCCCAGGCGGGCAGCGGGCGCCGGGCCCCCAAGCGGAGCGGCGGGCCGGGGGCCCCCAGGCGGAGCGGGCGGGCGCCGGGCCCCCCCAGGCGGAGTGGCGGGCGCCGGGCCCCCAGGCGGAGCGGCGGGCATCGGGCCCCCAGGCGGAGCGGCGGGCATCGGGCCTCCAGGCGGAGCGACAGGCATTCGGGCCCCCAGGCGGAGCGACAGGCATCGGGCCCCCAGGCAGGGCGCCGGGCCCCCAGGCGGAGCAGCGGGCGCAGGGCCCCCAGGCGGAGCAACAGGCATCGGGCCCCCAGGCGGGGCGGCGGGGGCGCTGGGCCCCCAGGCGGAGCGGCGGGCTCCGGGCCCCCAGGCGGAGCGGCGGGCGCCGCGTCATCTGGCAAGGCAGTGGGCACCGAGTCACCAGGCACAACAGTGGGTTCCGAGTCAACTGGCATGACCACGGGCACTGGGTCAGACATTGGATCGTCTGGCCCGACAGCGGGCATCGGGTCACAAGGCATGACAGCGGGCACTGGGTCATCAGGCATGGGATTGTCTGGCTCGACAGCGGGCATCGGGTCTCCAGGTATGACAGCGGGCACTGGGTCACCAGGCATCAGGTCATTTGGCTCGCCAGCGGGCACCGCGTCATCTGGCAAGGCAGTGGGCACCGAGTCACCAGGCACGACAGTGGGCTCCGAGTCAACTGGCATGACCGTGGGCACTGGGTCAGACATTGGATCGTCTGGCCTGACAGCGGGGATCGGGTCACCAGGCATGACAGCGGGCACTGGGTCATCAAGCATTGGATCGTCTGGCTCGACAGCGGGCATCGGGTCACCATGCATGACAGCGGGCACTGGGTCATCAGGCATTGGATTGTCTGGCTCGACAGCGGGCATCGGGTCACCAGGTATGACAGCAGGCACCGGGTCATCAGGTACCGGATCGTCTGGATCGACAGCGGGCACCGGGTCATCTGGCGTTGGATCGTCTGGCTCGACAGCGGGCATCGGGTCACCAGGCATGACAGCGGGCACTGGGTCATCAGGTACCGGATTGTCTGGATCGACAGCGGGCATCGAGTCAACTGGCATAATAGGATCATCAGGCTGGATCAGTTCATCATGCTGGGTAGAGACATCAGGCTGAATGGAGGCATCAGGCTGAATGGAGGCATCAGGCTGGGTAGAGGCATCAGGCTGGGTGGAGGCATCAGGCTGGGTGGAGGCATCAGGCTGAATTGTGGGCGCCGAGGCACCAGGCTGCACCACGGAAGGCAGGTTCTCAGATGGGAGGCTGACCGGTTTGGATACTGGCAGGATGGTATTGGTTGGAAAGAACTTTCGCCTTTTCCTGGTTTTAGTTACCGGAGTACTGTAAGTAAGCGCAGGTTTGTAAGCGGATGGAGCAGCTGGAGACAGAGAAGAGCTGGAGGATGGAACAGGGGAGGGAACAGTTGCTACAGAGGGCTTCTTTACAGGGTTAAAGGCAGGATAAGTGCAGCGAGTGGGAACAGGGTACTGACATGCGGTAGATAGCAGGGTATACTGGGCTGTAACTGGGGGTGCTGTTGGGAATGCAGGAATAGAGCTTTGAGGAAATAGATTAGAAGCAGGACTGGGTTTTTGTAAGCTGACTGAGGCTGGGTGTAACAAGTCTGACCATGTCTGCAGTATGGGTTGAACAAAGCTCAGCTTACACAAAGCCTGTCTGGTCAAAGACTGCACTGCGTTTATACAATCCCTTAATACCTGTGGTGAACATGCAGCATAATGCTCCAAGAAGCAATCCACATCATCCTCTAATAACCATACCAGGGACTCTACCTGGTCTGCACTAAATGGTGGCAAAAAAGTCATTCCTGCTTTCAGGGGTACCAGATGAAGCCAAATCTACACAAACCTGAATCAAAGGTTGCACCTCAGAGAACTCTGTGCCCTGATCTACTAGAACATGAGCGATCCGTATACATTCTAGCAGTTGATCCCGGGTATACTCCCTCAGAGCCTGATAAGCATATTCTCTGTCATCAAAAACCAGCAGCGACAAATACACCACCTCATCAAGATCCATCCTTCCCAGCAACAAGCCAAGATGGCTTCCCTGTGCAGCCACTTCTGGTCAGGATTGGCCTTGGTGTAATGTCAGGGCTCCAGGGTATGACCAGAGGTATGTGAACTGACGCAGGGAAACGCAGGCTTCAGATATGTATAAACAATACGATTTATTAACACTAACAATACATAAACGTAGTGCAATACTAAAACATAACACAGTGCAAACGAACCAAACCACCCACAGATAACAATACATACAATGCAAGCGTCGTCAGGCAGGCCGGGTCAATAACAATCGGGCAGGTAGGAACAGGAGGAGCAGGCAGAGAGTAGTCAGGTCACGAGCCGGGTACAGCAACTAACGGGCAGGTAGGTACAGGGGGTCAGGCAGAGAATGGTTGGGGTCACAAGCCAGGGATCAAACAGGAGAAGTCAGCAGAGGTCCGGATCAGGCAGGGTCAGCAACGAATCAGTCAGACAGGGACAGGAACAGGAACAGGAACAGGGATGCAGGTAACAAGATACAGGGGCCCAGGAAAAACACACACACCAAGGCCCAGACTGCAGGTCTGGCCATCCCTTAAATACACCTGCATAATCAGCTTCAGGTGTTTGGCTGGCTGCAGGGTTGAGTCTCTGATTGATTGCTGGGAGCACCTGCTGGCCAGCCCTGGTACTGCAGCCCACAAGGCAGGTGAGTCCCACCATTACTGGCAAGTCCATTCCTGACAGGATTTCCCACAAGTCTCTGGTTCTACCCCCATTCATCCAGTGCAAGCTAGTGGTAAACAATTTAACTGAAGCAGAATTCAACTACAGTTTTCACAGTCCAGTATTGAAAAATAATCAAGTAGTTTTATTGGCTGCTACAAGCCACAAGAATTGTAGCTTTTTGTACACTCTTCATACATCAGCTCCTGCATCATCAGAAGCCTACTGAAGCAGAGGGCTAATGTGCAGGCCAGCATGTCCTTTGTAGAAGGTAATGGAGAGAAATTCAAAGCTTTTGCAGTTTCATAAGACAGGCAGTAGCTCCAACATTTTCTGACTGGCTGTAATGTTATGACCTCCAAACTAATATTAGGTGCGCCCCACTTTTGCCACCAAAACAACCCAGACCCGTTGAGGCATGGACTCCAAAGTAACATCTACATGAGTGACAGTACCCAGGGTTTCCTGACACTTACCTCCTTCCCATAGTGCATCCAAGTGCCATCTCTTCCCCTGGTAAGTGACACACACACACCCCATTCACATGATGTAAAAGAAAATGCGATTCATCAGACCAGGCCTCTTTCTTCCATTGCCCCATGGACCACTTCTGATGCTCATTCTATTGTAGACACTTTTGGCTGTGGACACAAGTCAGCATGGACACCCTAACTGATTTTGTAAAGCACTGTGCAAACCGGTGCTATATAAATCCTGTATAATAATAATCTGCGGCTACGCAGCTTGATGCGCAACAAACTGCAGTGCACTGTGTATTCTGACACCTTTCTATCAGAACCAGCATGAACTTTTTCAGCAATTTGAGCTACAGTAGCTTTTCTATTTTATCGGACTACATGGGCCTGTATCAATCCTTGGCCACCCATGACCCTGTCGCCGGTTTGCTGGTTTTCTTTCTTTGACCACTTTGATCCTGACCACTGCAGAGTGGGGACATCCCACAAGAGCTGCAGTTGCTCTGAACCAGTCATCCAGTCATTGCAATTCAGCCATTGTCACAGTCACACAAATCTTTATGCTTGCCCATTTTTTTCTGCTTCCAAAACATCAACTTCAAGGACATGTTCATTGGGTGCATAAGATATCCCACCCACTGTCAGATGCCATTGTAACAAAAGAATCAATGTTTTTCACTATACCTGTCAGAGACCATAATGCTATGGCTGATCGGTGTAGTAATAGTATTAGTTACTGCTCTCCTCCAAGCAGTCCTCCATGTGCTGAGTAACATATGCATCCTCCATTCAAAATGCCTTACAGAAAACAGCGACTGAAAAAGAGCATGCTACATATTCTTAGTAATTTATAAAGGCCTCAATTATTTCAGGTACATTACTCAGCACTTTAAAAGGAGCCAGTCATGGGAGCTGTGACTGCTGAGGACACCTGATATGCACATGTTTGATCCAAGTCAGCTAGTCAATTAATATTGAGGCAAGGACACAAGTAATAGCACAGGGCTATGACATTCTTCATATCTCTTTTCTGGCAGATTCCCTTTATATCTCAATCCTTGATGTACATTTTATTTCAGCTCTTAAAAATATCATATGGAGTACTGTTGTATCTTTGTTGAGACTCTTGTGGCATAATAACAAAAGTATGCTTTTGTTGACAGCTCCATTTATTTGAATTTGTGGAAAAAGACAAGATGGAGGAATTCCTTTGTGCACACATACATTGTGTAAGTCTCCATGACACGTTAACAGTTTTACTGTGTTATAATCTGAATGTTTTCTACTGAAAATGTTGTTTAATCATCCAAGGGCTGTATTAACAGGTCATGTCACATAGAGCACGCATGAATGATAATGGCCTATCCCACAGGCACCGACTCTTTAGTTCCATTTTTCAGTAGGTATAATAAGTATTGAGCACGTCACCATGTTTCTCACTAAATATATTTCTAAAGGTGCTATTGACATGAAATGTTCACCACATGTCGGTAACAACCCATGCAATCCATACATACAAAGAAACCAAAACAAATAAGTTCAGAAATGAAGTTATGTGCAATAAAATGGAATGACACAGTGAGAAAGTATTGAACACATGAAGAAAAAGAGTTGCAAAAAAAGGCATGGAAAGCCAAGACACCAGCTGAAATCTATCATTAATTAGAAATCAATCTTGCCCTTGTCAGTCTAAATTAATATCAGCTGGTTCAGTCTCAACTGATGGCCTATAAAAAGGTGTCTTATTTCCAAGGTGTCACACAAAAACATCTCATGATGGATAAACCTTATTGTTGCAAAACACATTGATGGCATTGGTTACAGAAGGATTTTTAAACTTCTGAATATTCCAGTGAGCACTGTATGGTGAAAATTTCATGGCAATAGCACCTTTAGAAATATATTAACTGAGAAAAATGGTGACATGTTCAATACTTATTTTACCCGCTTGTATATGATAATTACCAAACCAAAATTGCTACTGGAGGAAGCATGTCATTTGACTCATGTGGAACTCCAAGCAAACACTTAGTGGTTAGCACTTATGCCTTGGGGTCCTCAGTCATGTCCCACCCAGGATACTATCTGCAAAATTATGCATGTCCTCCCTGTGGTTGCATGGGTTTTCTCCCACACTCCAAAGACGTGGTAGTTTATTTGGCTTCTGTGTAAATTAGCCCTTGTATATGTATGAATATGAGAAAGGGACCTTAAGTTAATTGAAGCCGGAAACAAATGAGAATTTACGATATGTAAAGCGCTGCATAAATTATTATTGTAATAAAACCAATAATTATATATAGTTGGAGTACATACATGTTTACCGTCCAAGTTATTGTCCACTTGTCCAGTGTCCACTTCCACTGCTTGACATCACTTCCCTTCTGGGTTGAATAAGATCCAGTGGCATTCAATCACTTGCTGGGAGCCCAGGTCATCACAGGTACCCCCCCTGAGATTACATCGTCATGCAGTTTGGCTTCACAGTAGAATGCTACTTAAATGGGTTCTCACAAGTCCCAGTGGGAACTCCGTTGTATGAAGATTATATTATCTGCTGATCTTAAAATGTTTATAGCTTTTCATTGCCATAGAAACAACTCATTGGGGTTGATTTACTAAAGGCAAATAGGCTGTGCACTGCAAGTGCACTGAAAGTGCAGTTGCTCTTGATCTAAGGGGAACATGTAAGGAAAAGAAGAACAGCATTTTTGCTCTTACATGATTGGATGAAAGAAATCAACAGGGCTTTGCCTCATTTCAGAGCTTCCCCTCGGATATAAAGCAACTGCACTTGCAGTGCACAGTATATTTACCTTTATTAAATCAACCCCATTAAATATTCACATTTCAATAAACAATTTTTCCAATTCACCAAAAGGTTTATAGCATGAGTAAGAATTATTTACTGCAGGTATTGGGCATGCTTAATAAAGCGGTATTAAACCCAAAACACATTACTTTAGATGTAGTGGCATTACTTTTTAAATTTTTTTCTCCATTTTCACCTGATGATCTTGCCAGTAGCACACTTCCTGTATTAGAGTGCCCCTACTCTGAATAAATGAGCACAGGGGCACCTTTGAACAGCAGCATTGTCAGATGGGGTAGGAAAGAGGGAGTGTTAGATGTACTAGCAGATTTAAAAACACTAACAAATCAAAACTGAATACTTTATAATCAGTTACAGCAAACAGTATTTTTTCTGCTCAACAGCAGTTGCATAAAATTAGGTGCCACTGGCAGTTAGAAATAAATAGGAGATTAGACCATCCATGCAGGCTGTCAGCGGAACAAGGAATGGGGGTACATTTTCTAGTGGTGACACCTGTTCTGGGGACAAATGTTTAAGAGAGGAATTCCTCCTAATTTGTAGAGATTTCCTCTAACCTGCTGTTGTGTCTCTAGAACAGGAAGTGAAGGAAAACTTCCCAAATAGTACATAGACAGCAAAAAAAAAAAAAGAAAAAAAAAAACCTGGTCCAATCCTTTACTAATCTATTCATAAGGTTAGAAGAATGGCTATACTGACACCTTAAGGCAGTTTGCATACCTTCCAACTCTCTGTGATGGAAAACTGGGATACATCTTTTAGCACAAAGTATAAAGGGAAATCATGCACCCCACAATGTCCCCAGACCATTAACAATTGTTATGCAAAAAATTGGGCAAACATTTTACTTTTCATTACTTTTCTTTTATACTGTTTTTTTTCTCAAATTAGCACATGCAAACATTTAGAAGCTAGATGAATGTTTAGTGCAGTGTAACACATCTTTAATAGTATAATATATATAGAAGTCTGTACTGAGAAACAGAGGATAGGGTCAGAGGTATTCAATTCAAGAAGAGAGGCAGTCCCTACAAATAAGGGCCTGCTGGGAGCTATAAATCAGTGCTGGGAGAGTGGTCAGCTGTTGAAGTGGGAGTAAATGCTCTTTTTTTGTACCTACAGGAAAGCCTATAATAAGGCTTACTTGTAGGTACCACAAATATCTCCTAAACATTCTCCGTTTATGAGATATTTACCTATGTAGGTGCCAGTGGTGTAACTGGCGAATGCGCTCTGAAGGATCGGCATACCTGTGCCATTCCTTCAGAGCCCTGTGCTGTAAACAGTGACTCCTGCACACATGTGAGGGAGTGATGTCATTGCAGCTCAGCCATTCAAGCGGCCTCAATCAGCAAACCCAGAAGGAAAACCGGGCCAAGATGGATTCCCTGTCAGTGGTGACAGGGTGTCGCTGGAAGGATCCCCTTCACAGGTAACTCCATCATAATTTGCTGGTATGCAGTGTATAATAGTACATTAGGAATTTACCCCGCAGGTGGACCATTTTTTATTTATTTATTGTTAAGCAGAGGTTTACTATCGCTTTAAGGGGTAGCCTGTAATTTGGGTATAGTGTGCAGCATTCTGACATTTTGTGGATCTTTTCAGTTTGGTGTCAGTGGTGAAAGTACTAGTCAAAAACCATGGTGTCAGGCTCCCAGCACTGAAAACCAGTAAACATCTTCTGACTAGCTTGAAATTTTAGGTTCCATGAGAAGAGCTAGAATGGATCTATTTTAAGTAGCATTATTAATAATTATTTAAAAAACATATTTGTAAAGTACCATATCATCACAAAAATGAAACAATAACCCTTTTCCAAAACGTGCAACAATTTATATGCAGTTGAGAATGACAACTTTTTTTTTGATAATCTTAGATATATTATTTTTCCATGCTAATGCATGTAAAGAAGTTGATATCTATATAAAAGTTTCATTTGAGTATGCTCATGTCAAACATGGTTCAAAGATGCCTTATGTGCTAGTCTGTCACATATCCTAGCTGATCATTTTAGAACTTTGATCAGCAGCACCACCCAATGGCAGCTTTGAACACCCAATAAAAACAATGTTATCGTAGTCGCACGTTATAGGAAGATTTTTTTTTTTTTTTTTTTTATATTGGGGTTATTTCAGACAACAATTTCTTGTTATCTCTGATCTATGCAGTTTAAACAAAATATATGACTTTTTAATCACAGTACTCTAGGACAAAAGAACGTAAGAAAATTTATAAAAGTGTGTGCGCGTGTGTGTGTGTATGTGTATATATATTATATATATATATATATATATATATAAAGCAATCCCCTGTAGGTAAATGTACATTTTATCAAACTTTGCTGCAGACTCAGTGTTAGACATGTGTAGTTTGTTTTGTTCCAAACTGAAATTTGGACAAAAGTTTTGTCCGGAGATTTGGATGTATCCAAATTTCTGGATTACAATAGTAACTAATTTAAACGATTCCAAAATAACAAAACAAAATTTGGTCCGAAGTAACAAATTATCTAAATTTGAATTGAATCAAAAACTAATTTAAAAAGTAAACATATTGCTCACTATTGCTGATTTCCTTCAAAGACTAAGGGGGTTATTTATTAAGACAGGAGAGTGCAAAATCTAGTGAAATTGTGTATAGAAAACAATCTGCTTCCAGGTTTTATTGCCAAATTTTAATTTAACAAGCTGCCGTTAGAAGCTGATTTCTGAATTGCACCAGATTCACTGGTTTTAGTAAATCCCTCCCCTATGTATTGGTGTATCTAAACAAACTAATGTGTTTCAAAGTCAAAGAGTATTTAAATATTGATTTGATTTAGATTTTTCTTTTCTTTGTTCACTTTTGATAAAAAAAAAATATATATATATATATATTTTGAAAACACATGCCTAAAACTCTTGCACAGTAATGTACATAGACATCAAAAAGTCATCTTTCTTTTATAACTTAAAACAGTTCACATATTCTGAATAAACCTTATTATTAATACAAAGAAGATTAACGTGTACAAAATCAAATGGTCAATTTTTCTGGTGAATGAAATATTAGCATCATTTGTGTCCAGATCAATATATATGCCTTATAACCTAGGATTCTCCAATTACTTTTATGTTACTTTTAATACTTTTAATAAAGATTTTTTAGCCATAGATGGAGTGGTTTTCTTTTCTGCAACCAAGAGCTGTAGGAAAAAAAATAGCTTGATTCCCCCATCAACACAGTCAGTGATGGGAGACTCCCTCCTGCAGAACTATTGTGTTCTTCCGGTGGGGGGGCACGGGGAGCAATCCCTGTTGGGAGAATACTCAGTGATTATTGTTAGCAACTACAGTATAGCCACTGGCAAAAATCAAATAAAAAATCCAACATGCTGGTTGTACCCAAATCGATTGATCTCCCCCCAACCCTAAACTGATGGCAGTGGGTAGTGTGCACAAGTGAAGGCATATCATGCTTTTAATGACTATACTCAACATAATTGATATGCATGTGTGTCTTATGGTATACAGAAAGATAGTGTCTTTGATCACATTAGGCACATGTTAGTAATAGACTAGAAATTACATTTTTATACATAGCATAAAGTTGCCACCATAATTTCCTATAGAAGAATTTAGTGGTATTTTATGAATAGCATCTAGGTGTTTGGGGTCCAGGACATGTTGATACTCCTGCAGTTCTACAATTACAATGTTATAATGATGATAGCTTACCTATAATTTCATGTAACATATTCTGTGGGGCCCATAATGGAAGCATTCTTGTTAAGAAAACTTCTTTAAAATTACAAATATGTAAATGGTATATACCTAACTACATTTCGGATACTTGATTCAAATTAAATAGATTTTTTTTTTATTCGAATACTTCCAAAAATTCTAATCCATTCAAAAATGAATAAACAAATGCAACAAAACAACACAGATAACTTAACAAATCCATCAGAAACTAAACACATTTTTTCATTCTGCACATGTGTACTCACTGCACTAAGCATAACTTAATATGTGCTTTATATAATGATACATGTTAAGTGTAATTAATATATATATATATATATATATATATATATATATATATATATATATATAAAAATTTTATACAATCAGTATTAAAAGGATTGCAATTTACACATTGTAATGGTCTTACATATGCATGGACCATTAAAGAGAACATTGTGTAGAAAAATATAACAACTTACCAATGCCCAGTTATACCCCGGTCACGCCAAGCCTGACTTTGAAATCGAGCGACTTACTGTGAAGTCGTGGGACATGCCAATTTCAAAGTCGGGGGACATGCCAATTTCAGGTGTGATTTGCAAGCCATCTGACCAAAAGTAGTGCGTGTACTACTTCAGAAATCAAGTCGGAACCGCACCAGTCGGACCAAGTCGGAACCGCACCAGTATGACCGCTGTAATTGCAGACAATAGAGTGTGACTTGGTATACGATTTGCAAGTCGCATGGCATGCAAATCGCATGCCAAGTAGCACCCAGTGCGACCAGGGTCTTATGCTGTTTATATGTGTTTACAAATTGTACTTTTTTTCCCCAGTAGAATTGAATATACAATGAGATTGCAACAAATGTAGATTTGTATCAGTGTCTTACATTTCTGATGTTTGCATGTCTTTGCTAGTTCAAAGATGAAGGAAGTCATGGAGTAATATTATTTCTATACAGTGTGCTTTTCTCCCGAACAATTTTAAGGTAAGACTGCATAAGATAACCCATTTTAAGCCTGCTTGGTACATCTATGTAGAGTTCTTTTTATGCTCCTGATACTGCAATGCCTCCTGGGTAGTTCTCCTCCAATCTTTTGAAATACATAGGGACACATTCCTAAATAACCTACAATTCAGACCGATAGTACTATCTACTGTATGTATCGTATAGCAAAATTATACTGCAAACTGTGTATATGTGTATGTATGTATGTGTGTGTGTGTATATATATATATATATATCTATACACACACACACACACACACACACACAATACTATAAAAATACTATACATTATTGGTTTTCCAGTTGGGTATAATATTATTTGTTTTGCTTATATTTAGGGTTAACCATGACTCAGACCACACAACTACTCATCTCTTGCATTTTTGTCTGGGGAATTACACAGTCAGACAGGTGAGCAGATTAAATCCCAAACTTTTTCTTTTATCATTATTTTAATAGTCAATGGAAGACTTGTAAATTTGTTCAGGTAATTATTAATGCAGTATTAAACCCAAAAGAAAACATCTGTTATATTGCAGCCAACCAATTCTTAGATGTGACAGCTGCAGTCATTTTCTTTTTTAAGCTTTCTTTCTCTGTTTTCATTTGGTGATCCTGCCAGCAAATCTTTTGTTTTTCAAAAGCACAAGCTCTCCAGCAGAATGTATCAGTTTACTTTGATGAGACAATCCATTTAACATTGGCAAGGGTGATTAAAATGATCAACTTTTATTTATTAATGTAAAACCTTTATCCCAAAAGGAAAACACAGTTTGCTGTGACTGATTATAAAGAGTAAGTTTGGTTTCAATTTGTTATTGTATTAAAATCTGCTAATACATTTAACACTCCCCTACCCCCCAGACTGACAATGCTGTTGTCTTCTGTTCCTCCTGCTCATTCAGCTAGAGTGGTGCCACTCTAGGAGGTGTGTTTGGCCCCTTTCATATGGACGTTCTGATCGGAAAAACAGGACCCGATCTGAGCCTCTATTCTCCTCTATGAAGCAGTGGGCATAAATGGACATGTGTCCATTTACATCCGCCCTTAACCAATCCGATCCACCAAAAAGAGATGGATGGGGATCCTCTTCTATCTGTCATATCGGATGGCAGTCTAATGGAAACGGACAGGTGGTCCGGACTTGTCATCTGCTTGCTCAGTGGGGATCAGCAGACAGATCCCCTGCTGTGCAAGTGGATCCGCTGACAGGTCTGCCCCTGTGGAAACGGGGCCTTACTGGCCAGATCAAAAGGTGAAAACAGAGGTAAAAAAAAGCCAAAGAAAGGAAAACTGACACAACCAGTACATCTTATGACTGGTAAGCTATAATATAATATATTTTTGGTTTGGGGTTTAATACTGCTTTAATGCCTGTGATCCGCCTTACCTTGCCTTCAATTCCCTTCCCCGTTTTTTTTTTTTTGGGGGGGGGGTTGGGATTTTTTTCTTTGTAGCATTTTTGGCTTTAAATTTACTCACGTCAGGATAGAAAAAAAACTGCAATTGTACATTCATTTTGAATTAATTCTTGAATTGTACATTCATTTTGAATGACACCCCAAGACTGCAGAAGTGGGCAATTCACTAAAGCAAATGCCATGTGTCACAGTGCACTGTGGTTGTGTTCTTTGTTAAGGGGTTAAAATGGTATAAAAGGCTTTAGTGTATAAAAAAACAGAAAAAAGTCATACTTACCTGTTTTACTTAATGGTATTGCACAGAGCAGCTGCAATCCTCTTCTACTTGGATGCTCCGCCGATGCTCCTGTCCCCTCCTCCCTGCTGAATGCCCCCAGAGAAAGTCGCATGCTCTGGGGGCACTCATGCATGCTCACTCCTGAGGCCTGCTCTGTGTATTTATAATACATACAGAGTCTGGCTCAGGAATGACCCACACACACACACACACACACTCGCTCATCACTTGCTCTGATTGACAGCAGTTGGATCCAATGGCTCCCACTGCTGTGTCTCAGCCAATGAGAGAGACCCGGGAGAGCTAAGGCTCCCATGCGCAGTGCTTGATCAAGATCGGACTCACGTAATTACTAGGAGGGAGCAGTACACAGAAAGTTTTTTTACCTTCATGCATAGAATTCACAAAGGTAAAAACCCTTCAGCCTTTACAACCACTTTAAGATGCACTGCCTAATGCAGCATGCTTAAATGCATATTAAAGCAGAGCTCCAGCCATTTTTGTGTTTTATTAAAAGTCAGCAGCTTCAAAAACTGCAACTTTTAACTTTTAATAAACAGACACTCACCTGTCCCAGGATCCAGCAATGTGCTCACTTGAATCGTCCCTTCTCTCCATCATCTTTCCACGGTGCCGGCATCTACGGACACCCAGTTGTGACAGCCTTAGCAGGCTTCAGCAAACTTTGAAAAGTGTTGAAATTTGCAAAAGCCTACAGCAGCTTTTTAAAATGATAGCTAAGACTCCCTTTAAGATCTGTGTTTAACAATTCCAGGTGCAGCTGAAGGGTGCTTTAAGGACTTCAATAAAGCTGCTTAAAGGTTGCTAAATCTTTCCAAATGCATCATAAATGCACTCTACACACCTCAGACTTACATATACAAACAAAAAAACTCATAATAATAACGCCTAAGAATTAGCAAATAATACTAGTGTAATGTGGCATTATGTGAACAGCATGTGTGACACAATACTGAGAACAAAGTTTATAAACCTGGTTTGGTCAATTGCTTACATTCTTCAACAAAATAGGAAGATTCTTATGACTATTGGAAATTTACAAACTGAAAAAACAAATGTTTTCTCCTTTAGGAAATAAATTCAACTTTGCTAATTTTCCCCACTAACTGGTTTCTATAGGCTGTGTTAAACCTGATTTTAACAGGGAGAGCAAGCCCTCATGTCTTTAATGGGGACCAAGTCCTGGAGGAACAGAAGCTGGAGCAGGAACTTCATGGAGTCCTAACACGCAGTGATGTAGGCTACTTACACTGGAGCAGGGATGAAATGGAACAGCACAAACTTCCCCAGGTGAAGCATAGTACAGGCTGTACTATCAAGGTTTCCAGTTTATTATTTGTGATTGTACCTAACAATCCATGTCAATAGTACTAAGAACAAATCTGTAAAGCATAGTAGCCAAGAAAGAAACAGAAAGTTGTCCTCTTCTAATTTTATATAATGTGTTCTGTCTTCACTACACGTTTCCTTGTGTGTAGCTCAACATGTAGCTAAACTCTCCTATTCTGCAATAAGCCAGACTGAATGTAATCTTCAAGCTTTATTAACCAAACAGGGTGGATGAAGCTATTAGGAAAAAGCAAATGAGAAATACATACAATCAATGTAAGAATGTACAGAAACTGAATAGTTAGGCTATATATGGTGATAAGTGATTCTCACCAGCGATGCTCCTGTTAGGGGATTCAAGTTCCAGTTCAACATGTACTCGGACAGCTGGCTCCTTCTCTTCCCATCCCCCAGATGGACTCTGAATTCCCAAGAAGCATCTCTTCCCTTTCTTTCAGAATTATGGGTACTTTTTATTAACTCTTAACCCTCTCTAAACAGTCTCTAGTTTCTATTAGCAGCTCTATCTAGTGGCTGAATTTACTATTGCAGGCTGAACTTTCGCTGCTGGAGGCAGAACATAATGCATTGTACCAGCTTGCACTGTACAGCTGCCAAACACAGAATGCATGTATAGCCAGAGGAAAGGGGTATTCAGTGCATCTTCTCACAGAACTGATTGGTCACTGTCTATTCCTCATATGTCATATACGGGGCGGACTGACCATTTGGAAACTCGTGCACTGCCCGAGGGCCCGGGGTCAGTAGGGGGCCCCATGAGATGCCCCTGGTACCTTTTTCATAGGCTTTGTTGAGTTTGGGCAAGGTCACAGGGGCCCCATGATCCCCTATTGCCCGGGGGCCCCATGAGTTGTCAGTCCGCCCCTGGTCATATACAACTATTGACCTGTAGGCTCCCCTGTTCTTCAGCTGGCCATAAGAGAACAGTTGGCCAATCCATTTGTTTTTGGCCTGACTGATGACCTCACATCCATGGGGACAATCATGTTGCCAGACACAGAATGCATGCATAGCCAGAGGAAAGGGGTATTCAGTGCATCTTCTCACAGTACCGATTGGTCACTATGTCTATTCCTCATTTGTCATATACAACTATTAACCTGAAGGCTCCGATGTTCTTCAGCTGGCCATAAGAGAACAGTTAGCCAATCCATCTGTGTTTGGCCTGACTGATTGATGACCTCACATCCATGGGGACAATCATATTCCCACTGGGAGACAGCGCCTACTTAGCTGGTTAGAAAACTAGTCCTGATCACTATGTTTGACACCCAGCCTAAGCTATACTATGTTATTTTTGTATCAGGTCAAATGTAACTTTTAGTGTAATTTTCAGTGATCATTTTGTTCTTCAATATTGCCTTGACATTTTTTTATTAAGGAACATGGGTTCAGCCATATTATGGTCATATGAGCATACCTGAACAATTACAATTTGATTAGATAAAGAAAAATATTTCCAAGTTAAGGAAAAAAAAGTCATACTGGAGACTGGAGATTAACAAGTCATATCATGAGAATAAATATTCTATATGAAAAATCAAGGCTTTTAAGGTGTGACCCCTCAGTGAATCAGACAAGCAATAAAAAAAAGCAATATTAAACCCATCTTCTTTTATTGATGCATATAAATAAATAAAATCTTTAATGCATGGTTAAAATAATCCCAAATATCAAGGTTAATTTCTCCCCTAAAGAGGCTATACCAAGGGCCAGAGTACAAACATTTTCATAACAATTATATCTAAAAATCAGTGTGCATAGAACAAACAAGCATGGAAGCTGGTCACTTGGTAAATCCGGTTTCACTCAACATGTTTCGTGTTATTACTTCCTCAGGAGTAGAGTGATGAGAGAACACCTAAATAGTAATAGGGCTATCAAAGAAATTCAAGATAGCGACATGCAGAGTGGAAGCTCCCCAGTGGAAAAAAAGCTCTGAAGGGAGTCATAGAAGGGGGTGCGCATAAAAGGCAAACAATAGATGGGTAGTGTCATTGCAGCTGTAATGTAAATGTAAAATAATTAACTAATTCAATTAATAGTTTTTTTGTTGCAGCAGCATCCATACACTTAAAACACCCAACATTAGAGATGCTTTATTCTTACAAAGCAAATACAGGTGTCAGTATACAAAATACTGTGTATACTGGCCCTTTCCAGGGTTCTCTTTCTGACTCAGCTAATGTTACCCTAGTGCTGGTGGAGAGGGGTAGCAGCAGGGGAAAACAAGGTGTTGTGCAGGTGGCTGACATCCTCCTTATCGACCAATGTCATCAGTTGTTAGTACATCAACAGCTGGTTGCATGGTGCCCAAGGTTTTGTTGCTGCACAACAACAAAAAACTGTGGCTTTGTTTAACTAAATAAAGCAAGCTTGATCTAGCCACTGATTTTTAATATATTCTGAGCAATTTGGGGCAATTTGTAGGCATTTCACCAAGGTACCCCCAAAGGACACAAATGGCACCCTGGCTGAAAAAGGCCATCTTCCAAAATCGTGTCCCACAAAATAACGTGCCTAGTTCAAAATGTGCTTAAACAGTCTTCAATTACTTATCTATACCTTCACCAATTTCGTGAATTGCCACCTTAAAGCTGGGTGCACACTGTTAGGCAGGCCATAGGTGATGCAATTTTTATTTCTGCAACCACGCGTTGCAGGAAAGAAAATCACTCGATTCCTTCCCCTGATCCAAACAATTGGTACTATGCCGCCACCTAATAAAGGGACTATTCCTGAGACTGACACCAACAATGGAGCACCATTCCAACCACTGACACCAATGTTAGGGTACTATTCCTTCCCCTGATATCAACAATTGGCACTATTCCTCCCACTAATGCCAATCATGAAGCATTGTATACTCCCATTGATGCCAAAGCATTTTCTAGCACACTAGCCAAATTCCAGCCACCAGAGAGTCTAAAAGACCGTAAACTGTCCCTTTGTTTAAAAAGTTTGGAGACCTCTGGCTTAGATACACTTTACACAAGTTAGCTTCTTTTTTTTTTATTTAGTTTGAAAACAATAGTAGCATTGGGCACTTACAGCTTATACAAACTACAACAGGCCTGCTAGGCTGTTAATAGCTTTACATGAGGCAGAGATCAAGACATGATAGAAAGACCTAGGAGAATATGGCAGCCAAATTGAGTAGTTTATAAATTACATGTTCCCTCATATTAAATTGTGCAAATTGAGGTTGGTAGAGTGTATAAAAGGGAAAATGGACAGCTGATTTAAGCAAACACATCACTGTTTTAGATGGAGTACAGTATATGAGGGCTGAATTTTGTATTTAATTACGTTGTGCAACAAGAACATGGTGCCAAGTCACAGTGGCCTTTTTCTATCATTTACTTTCAGGTGGGAAGCATGCTGAAGACTCCAAAATATCCTATTTGGCTGTGTAATATAAATGGAACATACAGTGTCCTGTTTGGGACAAATGCATCTCTCTTATGTGACTGGAAAATGGAACACATATTTGACCTTTATTTCTACAATGGGCAGCTTTCTCAGACCAAAACTGTGCATTTGACAGTTGGTGAGTGTTAATCTAATTTTTAAGTTGTATCAGTGCTTATTATTGTCAAAAAAAAAATCTTAGAAGATGTGGTCTTGTTTATTAGGTCCTAATTGGTTGCCATGGCAACAAGAGGTATACCATTAATGACAACCTCACCTTTGTTTTAAATCAATATTGTACACTTATTAATTGAGAAATATTAATGCTGTACGTATTTTCCACATGCAGATACTACCATTGTCCACCTAACTTACTAACACTAACATAACTAAAACCAACCAAAATGTTGGCTGCTTACATCTTCACTCACTGACTATTCAGATTTATGTGGAGGAACAGGTACAGAGCAGGGGCGGACTGACAACTCATGGGGCCCCCAGGCAATAGGGGATCATGGGGCCCCTGTGTCCTTGCCCAAACTCAAAAAAGCCTATGAAAAAGGTACCAGGGGCATCTCATGGGGCCCCCTACTGACCCCGGGCCCTCGAGCAGTGCCCAAGTTTCCAAATGGTCCAGAGTCTGAGCATCCAAACTGCAAGGAGGTAAACTACCAAAGCAGGATGAACAAAGACCCCCCCACACACACACACACAAACACACACTTTTCAAAAGTTGGGGGGGGCACCTTCATGCAGACAGCTGAGCAGAGGGGATAGAGGACCTACAAATTGGAAATCTGCAGCTTGAGTGACAGACTGTGGTCACCTATAAAGTACCACTACAGTAGTAGAGTAAAGTTGGGGGTCCCTCCACCACATCCACAGATCACCTGCAGGTGTATATTCAATCCACAAGTGGCATTAGGAATTAAAGTCTCAAGAGCAGGCCCAAACACACATATTTCTTTAAAGGACAAGTGAATCAGATGCTCCTTGAGCATATGTTTTTATTCTTATAGGGGTCCTAGGATCTAGATTAAAGGTGTCAATATCTTCTGCTGATATTGAGAAATTGCCCCTGGAAGCAATAGGGAACTATGGGAGGAGGCTTGAGACGTATATCATCACTGAGGGGAAGCCTGGGAGGAGTCTGTCCTTGTAGGATCGGTTGATCCCCAAAGCGAGCTGACCCTTTGGGGTCTATGTAAGGAGGTGAGGGGGCATTTTAGCCACTGAAGGATTATCACCTACTGATCACCCACACATCACCATTTGCATGAGAGTGAAGTTGGAGCACTACCATATGTGTTGCTGTTCTTGGACTTTAATTTAATATATGTTTGCAGGGTATACACCTATTAGTGTCATTTCACCTATTTGTGTGTGTGGATGACACCTAACACCATTTGCACTGTTTATGTTCCCAAAGAGAGGGAATTCACATGTTGCACATATTTATTTATTTATGTATTTTGGATCCCTCTAGTGGGGATTTTAGGGGGATTGATTGTTGTGCACATAATTATAATTTAATTACTATTTATTTATATATATTTTTTGATTGTGTCATCACATTTAGTTTATTGTGCTAGCGCTACACTGTGGTATTCATTGTTATATACACTTATTGGGTATAAGGTTAGTGTCAGCAGCTTTAGGGATAGGACTCCATTTAAGCGTAGGAGGATCCGCTTTATAAATCTATGTAAATAGCAACTCACAGAGGTAAAGGTATAACGTAGGTCTTTCGCCTCATGTGGGTCTGACGTCCATTAATCATCCAGATGTAGGAGAACCAAGTGGGGTTCAGCTGTCACTGGAGCATATGGGTGGGAGATCTGAAGAGCACTGGGAGACCACAAGATGGCCGACAGTGTAGATGTCGTGTGTGGGTGTGGTTACATATTTACAGGCAGGTCAGCCTATTTTTCAAACCAATGTGAAGGCTCCTTGGACGGGGTGGTTTTATATAGGCTGGGAGAACTGAAGGGCTCAGCAAGACTCTATGTAAAAGATTTCATCTTGGCAGCGGACCAACAGGGGAGGATTGGGGACATATGTGTATTCCAAAAAAAGCTATTTTGTTAAGTTTTGAATAAAATTGACAGGCAGGTTGTGCAGACTTCTGGATGAGGTGTATGGGCATGGGGGAGAGAAAACAGAGGGAATGTAATGAAAAAAGAGGGATAATGATAAAAACAAACAGGGCAAGGTGAAAAAGTATTATGTAGAGGGACTAATGATTAGACCTTTGCAGGATTAGAGATTATTGGGAGAGAGTGAAATAAAAATGATCTAAAGTTATTGGAAAGCAACAGTTTATCACAGCTGACAAAAGTTGCAAGTGTGAATGATGATGGTAACCCCAAGGACAAAAATTGTAGATTTTTTTTTTAATTAAACGCAATTATTGTACTGGTATTTGTGTCTAGAAAGGTTGCTCCCTCCAGGGAGCATTATACCTGCTACTTATCCCCTGCTTACAATAAGTAAAATTGTTACTTGTACTTTAGGCCAAAAACAGGCATTTAACCCTTGATATGGGGGAAGCTCCACTGCATAAACAAGCCAAAACCTTGTTTTCCTTAGATGAGCCTGTGACAGTCCTGATGTTTTAGTAGCTGTGTCACCTTGTGGGATTCTACACACAAGTGGCAAAAGTGAGAACGTAATCTATTCAAAATACAGGGGTTGATTTACTAAAACTGGAGAGTGCAAAATCTGGTGCAAATTGTGCATGGTAGCCAGTCAGCTTCAGAAAACACTGGAAGCTGTTTTGGTTTCAATGCAGAGTTGCACCAGAGTTTGCACTCTCCTCTTTTAGTAAATCAACCTCACAGTCTAGCATTTATTGAAATGAAACAGAAAATATATCTTGGGGCATGCACTTACTAGGTAACATTGCAGTGTTTACCCTTAATGTAACTTTTCTCTGACTTTGACGTGTTTTACAAGCTCATTTTTAAATAGGTTTTAATGGTGGTAAGAATTGTAGATTTGCATCTAGATGGAAGCTCAGCGCTTCTCTGAAATTATCTGTCTTGCGTACAACTGTTCTGGTAAGATATTGGTCACATAGGGAGTGAATTGTTTTCAAAAAGCTAGGCTTCATTCTGTTCAATTTTAACTGATCTGGCAAACCGTATACCATGCATTGTGGTACATAGACTTATTGAGTTGGGGTGCTGTTTAAATATAATGGCACCACAATTAATGGCAGTAATGAAAGTTATGAGCACTATGATGTCGCATTAGTGTAAATGGGCCTGCAGAAGCATTATTTTTTGGTGCATGTATGCAAATAAGATACAATAAAGAGACACTGTCACCCAGGGGCGGACTGACCATTTGGAAACTCGGGCACTGCCCAAGGGCTCGGGGTCAGTAGGGGGCCCCATCAGATGCCCCTGGTACCTTTTTTCATAGGCTTTTTTGAGTTTGGGTAAAGACACAGGGGCCCCATGATCCCCTATTGCTCGATGGCCCCATGAGTTGTCAGCTCGCCCCTACTGTCACCTTGCCCAATCATGGCAACTCACAAATATTCAACTTGCCAACAGCTTTGCTGCTACTTCTACTGCCCAAGCTGATAAAAATACCCACTGAGCAAATAGAAGGAAGTGATCTCTTCCCATCTGACAACACTGGGTTCGAGTAGCCAATTGCTAGGCCCAGGCACTGTCACATCTATCCCCAGCATTTGACACCAGCCAACACAAGAGAGGCATGAGCAGTAGAGGGGAGAGGTGGCAAGGTGAGTATCCCTGGGTCATGGGGATGTGCTTTGTAAAGATGCTGTCACTTTGCTCTGAACAGACAGTTTAACCACCTCAATACTGGACACTTTCACCCCCACTTCCTGCCCAGGCCAGTTTTCAGCTTTCAGCGCTGTCACACTTTGAATGCCAATTACTCAGTAATGCAACACTGTACCCAAATTCATTTTTTACCATTTTTGAGACAGCGCTTTTTTTTGGTAGTATTTAATCACCACCGGGTTTTTATTTTTTGCTAAATAAACAAAAGACAGAAAATTTTGAAAAAAAAAACCTTGTGTTTTCTTTAATTTCTATTGTAAAATTTTGCAAATAAGTAATTTTTCTTCATACATTTTGGCCAAAATTTATCCTGTTTCATTTTGGGTGGTAAAATAACCCAAATCAGTTTATATTATTTAGTCTGTGTAAAAAGGTGTATAGTCTACAAGCTATGATACATATCATTGAAAATTGATCAATCCTGATGTACTGACTGCCTATCTCATTTCTTGAGGCCTTAAAATGCCAGGACAGTACACATACCCCTAAATGACTCATTTTAGGAAAGTAAAAGGTATTTAGAAAGAGGTATGGTGAGTTATTTGAAGTTGTAATTTTTCCCCACAATTCTATGGAAAATGAAAAAATTAAACAATTTTTTTACAAAATTGTCATATTAACAAGTTTTTCTCCCACACGGCATAGGCATACTTGCAATTACACCCCAAAACACATTCTACTACTCCTCTTGAGTATGGGGATACCACATGTGAGACTTTTTCACAGCTTAGCCATATAGAGACGCCCAACATCCAAGAAGCACCTTAAGGCGTTCTAAGGGCATAGATTACACATCTAATTTCCTGACCACCTATCACATTTTTGAAGACCCTGGAGCACTAGGACAATGGAAACACCCACAAAATGACCACATTTTGGAAAGCAAAAACCCACCTGTGGTTTTAGTAGTGTAGTTGTTAGCAGAGGATGAGTGGAACAGATGTTTTGCATGGTCAGTACATCCAAAGGATTGGTCAAGGCAGCAGGCAGGAACATGGACCATAAAATGGCCAAGGTCAGTACAGGCAGCAGGCAGGAACATGGTCCATAAACAGACTAGGGTGAGTACAGGCATTAGGCTGACATCCAGGCACCAGGCAGGAACATGGTCCATAAACAGTCCAGGGTCAGTACAGGCAGCAGGCAGATACATGGTCAGCACAGCCAAAGTGTTGTTCCAGGCAGCAGGCAGGAACATGGTCCATAAACAGGCCAGTGTCAGTACAGAGGTGTGGTCAGTTCAGTTGGCAGGCAGAGGCATGGTTGATTAACAGGCCAGGGTCAGATGGCAGCAGGCAGAAACATCAGGCTTGGGGCCTGG